GCAGAGTCATGTAGTGAGTGCCAGGGACAGGAGGAGGACGCTCACGTGGGACACGACGACCAGTGCGAGCAGTACGAACAGGCGACGCAGGACGAGACTCAGGCTCACGACGCTCTGTAAGACCTCCTGTGGGACCAGTGTAAGGAGAGGGACCAGGGAGAGGCGAGGCAGGCGGGAACTGTGACTGCGACTGGACAGGCGGAGGACACTCTACGGAGGGAGGAGGACAAGGAGGAGGAGCCTGACCAAGAACCTGCTGAAGAAGTGGTACGAAGTACGGTCGCGGCCGCGTAGCGTCTCCAGAACCAGCAGAGACACCAGCGGCAGGGTCCTCAGCACCAGCAGCAGCTCCAATGTCCGGGTCCTCAGCACCAGCAGCAGCTCCACCGCTCGGGTCCTCAGCACCAGCAGCAGCTCCACCGTCCGGGTCCTCAGCTCCAGCAGCAGCTCCAACGCCCGGGTCCTCAGCACCAGCAGCAGCGCCACCGCTCGGGTCCGCAGCACCAGCAGCAGCTCCAACGCCTGGGTCCTCAGCACCAGTAGCAGCGCCACCCCCAGGGTCCGCAGCACCAGGAGCACCACTCCGAAGACTGCAGCGCCGTGTGTACCACTCTCGGATCTGCTGAATGGGGGGGAGCTCCTGGGAAGGAGGGGAAGTACTGGTACGAGCTCCAGTAGCACCTCTCCGGAGGCGGCAGTACTGTAGGTACCTCTCCTGCAGCTGCCGGGAGGAGAGGGCTCCTCCAGGTGTAGCACGCTCAGGCTCAGCACCCCCAGACTCAGCACCCCCAGACTCAGCACCCCCAGGCTCAGCACCCCCAGGCTCAGCACCTCCAGGCTCAGCACCCCCAGACTCAGCACCCCCAGGCTCAGCACCCCCAGGCTCCGCACCCCCAGGCTCCGCACCCCCAGGCTCCGCACCCCCAGGCTCCGCACCCCCAGGCTCCGCACCCCCAGGCTCAGTACCCTCAGACTCCTCACGGTCAGGCTCAGCACCCCCAGCAGGACGAGAGTCAACAGCTACCTCGACAGGCTCACCCGGGTCTACTTGGGACACACCTGAGGGAGCGGCACCCTGAGGGGGGAGGGGGTCTGGTACCTCAGCACCTGGAGCGAGGAAGAGGGGGGGGGGGGAGCGGGGCAGTGCGGTAGGGGAAGAGGCGGTAGTAGGGGACGGACTCGTCAAAAGTGACGTCCTGAGAGGCCAGGACACGACGCGAGGTGGCGTGGTAGAACTGCCAACCAGGCGCGTCCGGGACAAAGCCAAGGAAGACACAGGGGACAGCTCGACGGGAGAGCTTGTCCGCGGACGTATCACGAACAAAAGCTCGAGATCCCCAGACCCGAAAACGCGACGCATCGCCAGCCTCTCCCGTCCAACGCAGTGTCGGAGAAGTCTCCGGTAAGGAGACACGGGGCCAGAGGTTGAGCTGATGCGCAGCGTATCGGACTGCAAACGGCCACAGAAAGTGGGGGGCAGCCGCATGAACCAAGGAGGTACGAGCGACCTCCATGACCAAGCCAATGCGGCGCTCAGCAACCCCATTCTGCTGTGGAGAGGCCGGAAGCGTGAACGACTGCTCAATGCCCTCCTGCTGACAGAAGGCCTCCAAGAGGCCAGAGGAAAACTCCCCACCTCTGTCAGAGTGCAGACGCAGGACAGGGAAGTCAGAGCGGAAACGCTCACTGAGCTGGAGACGAGATCTGCGGATCCAAGGGATCAAGACATCAGGGACGTCACCCTTGGTGCGCAAGGGGAAGACCGTGGTGTAGCGCGAGAAGTCGTCAACAACAATCAGGAAGTACCTCTCCTGACCCTGACCACGGACTCGGGCTGGGCCCCACACGTCTGTGCAGCGTCTGCAAAGGAGCAGTCGTCGGGGGGAAGGAGGAGGAGTGAGGAGCGGCGCGCTGCCGCCCCTCGACACAGGGAAGACAGGGAGGAGCAGGCGAGGGTGGGAGGGGAGGGAGAACCCTGGGAAGACCAGCAACAAGGTCCCGTTTGTGCATGGCCCGAAGGCGCTGCACAGACGGGTGACCAAGGCGGTGGTGCCAGAGGACAGTCTCATGCGCCAGAGAGCGACACGAGCAGGGGGCGGACAGCTGACCTGACGCAGACGCAGACGCGGACGCAGCTACCTGAGGGGACTCAGTGGTCAGTGTGTACAGGTCCGACCCCGGCTGCCGAGTGAAGGTAGCCAGGTGACGGCCCGTCCGAGCACACGTGCAGTGGGTCACGCGCTCGTAAGCAGGGGTGAACTGGTGAACACCCCCGTCTCGGAGCGCACTACCTGCCACCAAGTTCGTAGAGAACGAGGGGAGGTAGAGACCTGACAGTGTGCCTGACGGGACCGCAGGACAAGGAAGGACAGTGGAGGAGGTCGCAACGACCGGACCCCCAGAGGGGTCAGCGAGGGAGACAGCAACTGGCCGAGCAAGCGGCTCAAGGACAGTGCGGTCACAAAAGAAACAGCGAGAAGCACCTGAGTCCAGTGTGAAGGTGTGCAGTGCTGCAGTCGACTCAGTACCAGAGGGCACGGACTCACTAGCACCTAGAGCAGCAGCCTCCAAGGACCTGGGGCAGCAGACTCACTAGCACCTAGAGCGGCAGCCGGACTGGTCTGAATGCCCGGGTCGGGCGGAACACGCAAGTACTGAGCACCCTCTCCACTAGTAAACATCGCATACATGGCAGTGAGAATAGCATCAAAGTCTAAAGCCCAGATATCAACTCCCTTCTTCTCCAGATCAGCCCAGCGGGGCAGCTCAGTGGCATCAGGAAACTGGGCACGCCACGCGTCAGTAAGGCGCGCGAAACAGCGCTGTGTGGGATGCGGCCTCCCACACTGCTGGCCAGTGCGGTCACCAGTGCGAATGACGTACGTGCAGGTAAAGCCACGCTGCGCATACCACTCACGGGCGGCCTGAAGCGACGGGGCGGGCTGCTGACTCTGGCCACCGCCAGCGCCTCCACGACCACCACTGCCGCCGCCACCGCCTCGGCCACCTCCACCCCTGCCGCTGCCACGACCACCTCCGCCTCCGCTGCCGCCTCCACCCCTGCCGCCACTCCCGCCGCTGCTGTCACCACCCCCACTGCCGCCACTAGCCTCCCCAGCCGCTCCTCCACTCCCACCGCCTCCACCCCCACCTCCTCCGCCGCCACCTCCACCCTTGCCCCCTTTGCTCTTGCGGCGCCCGCTCGAAGCAGACGCGGCCCCGACCTTCTCAGCACCAAGGAGGTCGACAGCAGCAGCAGAGGCGACAGAGGGGAGGAGAGGGGAAGGGGAACACCCCTCAAAGAACGGGGTGCGGGGGTCGCCACGAGAGGTGCCTACAGCGACGATGCTCGCCTCAGCTGCAAGCAGTTCCTTCTCGAGGAGGGCAATGGTGAGTTCAGTGGGGGAGCGAGAGAGGAAGTGGTCCCTGACTGTGCGCAGGGAGTCGGGGAGGCGGGTGACTATGTGGTAGAGAGTGATCCAGAGCGGGGGGGGGGTTGCTGGTGAGGAACTCGTCAGGCATAGCAGCGCGAAAGCGGGCCTCACTAGTCTTAAGGTGGGTGATGAGGTCAGCAACTGTCTGAAAGGAGGCCAGGTCGGGGAACAGGTAGGGGAGAGTGAGGCGGCCTAGTGTGGCAGAAGCGGGGGAGGAGTAGCGAGCGACTACAGCAGTGTACAGGTCCTTAGCAGTTTTGTGCTGGCCAAAGTGCTCGCGCTCGTCGATCGGTAGGGAGTTACGAATAGCGAAGCGAGCGTGGGCGTCACGAGTCTGCCACTGTGAGCGCTGAGTGCTGTCAGCAGTGGTAGGAGGGGCAGTAGCGTTGCCTAGGGCGTGATCGTACAGTGAAACGTCCTCCTTAGCAGTGAGCTGTAGAAAGAGGTGGAGGTCATCGAGCCAGGTTTCGAACTTCACTGGACGGCCCTCAGCATCGAAAGTAAGTACAGTAGGAGTAGCCATAGCGGCAGTAGCAGTAGCGGTAGAAACAGTAAGAATGAGGCCGCAGGGAAGCTGTGGGCAGTGTCAGCACACGGGCGGCAGCAGCTGATGCGCACGGGCGGGAGCGGCAGTGGGCGCAGAAGCGGCGGCCGCAGTGGGAGCGAGTGCAGCAGCGGCAGCGGTAGCAGGCGCAACAGGAGCGCACGGGCGGTAGCGGCCGCGGCGCACGAGCGGGAGCGGCTGCGGGCGACGCGCAGGCGGTAGCTGCAGCGGCGGGCCCGTGGTAGCGGCAGCTGCAGCGGGCGACAAGCAGGCGGCAGCTGCAGCGGGCGACGAGCGGGCGGCAGCAGCAGCGGGCGACGAGCGGGCGGCAGCTGCAGCGTGCGACGAGCGGGCGGCAGCAGCAGCGGGCGACGAGCGGGCGGCAGCTGCAGCGGGCGACGAGCGGGCAGGCGCTGCAGCGGGCGACGAGCGGGCGGCAGCAGCAGCGAGCGACGAGCGGGCGGCAGCTGCAGCGAGCGACGAGCGGGCGGCAGCAGCAGCGGGCGACGAGCGAGCGGCAGCTGCAGCGGGCGACGAGCGGGCGGCAGCAGCAGCGGGCGACGAGCGGGCGGCAGCTGCAGCGGGCGACGAGCGGGCAGGCGCTGCAGCGAGCGACGAGCGGGCGGCAGCAGCAGCGAGCGACGAGCGGGCGGCAGCTGCAGCGGGCGACGAGCGGGCGGCAGCTGCAGCGGGCGACGAGCGGGCGGGCGCTGCAGCGGGCGGGCGGCAATGTGCAGGCCTGCGGGGCCGCTGCGGGCTGCGCTATAGCGGTGCGAGCGGCGCACGGGCGGCTAGCCGGTCGCGCTCAAAAGAAATCGGCCGCGCGCGGGCAGCTAGCGGGTCGCGCGCGGTTAAAAAATAAATAAATAAAAATAGAAAACGAGCCGCGCGCGATTGGCTGGCGGGCTGCGCGCGCGCGGTAGGTAGGAGGCGCACTGGGGCGCGTAGGCGCACGAGGGCGCACGGTAGGTAGGTAGGTAGGTAGGTAGGTAGGTAGGTAGCGGTGGGCCCTAAGAACGGTCCTAGCGAAGGACCTGCTCTGAAACCATGTCAGAATCAACAGACAGGAATGATTGAACTAGCAGTGAAATCAGTACAAGTACCTAACCCTAGAATTGTGTACCCCCTATAGGCTAACCCACTGTACCCTAAACAAACACAACCTATATAATGTTTGACAGGGCACGGAGCGGATCTGGTCGCACGTCTCCGCGGCCTGCACCAGATAGAAGTGCGAGCACACCGGGATGAGCAGCGCCGCTGCACTCTCCGCCCGCCGCTCCACACATACCGCCTGGCTGCCCGGCAGCTCCCCACTGCTGCTGGAGCAGTCCAGCCCAGGGTTGAGCGCTTGAAAGGCTGCTGCGCAGGGCTCAGTGGGAGTTGGACAGCCAGCGGTGAGGGAGAAGTAGGTGGCTAGCGACTCACATGTGTCACCCTGGGAGGATGGGAGCGAGAAAAGGAGAGGTGGGGAGAATGGGGGGGAGTGTGCAAGATGAGAGAGAAGGATGAAAGAGAAGGATGCAAAGAGGCCAGGAGAGGGGAACAAGCGGAAAGGCAGACTAGGGTTGAGAGTCACTTTTGAGAATTCTAAAAAAGGTTGAGAGCCTGGAAAGCTGCTGTGCAGGGATGGGGGTCAAGGTGGTCTCAGTGGTGGGATCTGTTAGAATAGTAGGCACAAGTAGGAGCCATAGCTAGGGTTTACCTAGCTAGGCAAGAGAGAAATGAGCAAAGGAGGGGCTTCACTAGCAAGCAGGAGGATACATATAGGAAACCCTAAGGGGTTGTACTCGCTATAGAGTACCCCACTGCAGGCTAGAGAATAATAACATTCTGACACACCCCCATAGTCAAAGTGGGGTATGATCAGAAGAGCAAGCAGACATAGAGCAGGTTCATAAGGGCAAGCAAAGCTAGAGGCAGTCACACAGGGCAAGTGAGGAGGAGGAGTGACTGTGAGAGGAGAAGATGAGAGGCGACGGCTGAAGCTGCAGACACACGGGCCACAGGAGCGGCTGGCTCAGTTGCTACCGGAGCAAAGGCCCCGGACTACAGGTGCTGCGGACGACAAGACTTCTACCTCCACTCAACCTCCCCCGACCGTCCCACACCCCTCTCACACACCCCTTGCTGCACCCCTAGCTCCACTCCCACGTCACCCCCCTAGCACCACTCCTTCGGCTCCCACACACCCACCCCCCTCAGCGACAGCTGCAGCAGTGGGAGACGGAGGAGGAGGAGAAGTAGGGGACGGCGCACACACCCTGCACCCCCATAACCGCCACCCCCACACTCGCCACCCCAAAACCCTAAAACGGGTGACACGGGGCAGGAGCACGGGGGACGGCGTGGGGGACGGTGCGGGAGACCGCGTGCGGCACTGGGGCAGGCTGCCCGGGCCGCGCGCGGGCCTGGCGCAGCCCGTACGGGCCGCGCGCGGGCCTGGCGCAGCCCGTACGGGCCGCGCGCGGGCCTGGCGCAGGTCGCGCGGGCCGCGTCGGGCGACGGGGGGCGACGCGCGGGTCCGCGGGCTCCGTGACGGGCGACGGGGGGCGCTTTGACGGGCGACGGGGGGCGCTTCGACGGGCGACGGGGCGGTCGACGGGAGGGGGGGAAGCGCGGGTCCCCGGGGTGACGCACGAGGGAGGAAACCGCCGCGCGCCTCGGGGCCACGGCGGGCAGAAAACCGCCGCGCGCCCCGAGCGCGCGGCGGGAAGGAAAAACATCGCGCGCCACGGGACGCGCGACACACAGGAAGGCAGCGGAAGCAGGCGGGCCCACAGGCCAGGAGCGTAACCGCTCTGATAGCATGTTAGAATAGTAGGCACAAGTAGGAGCCATAGCTAGGGTTTACCTAGCTAGGCAAGAGAGAAATGAGCAAAGGAGGGGCTTTACTAGCAAGCAGGAGGATACATATAGGAAACCCTAAGGGGTTGTACTCGCTATAGAGTACCCCACTGCAGGCTAGAGAATAATAACATTCTGACAGGATCTTGGTTAGGGCAGGCAGGCTGTGGAGAGCGAGGGATGTAAGCTTCCAGTGATGCACACGTGCACCCAGATGGGAGAACGATAGGAGAGCAGGGAGGGCGGGAAGGGTAGGAGGTAACTGGGCAAGGGGTAGAGGAGAGCAGAGATGTGAGGATTGGGAGAAGGTAAGGGGAAGTGAGGAGCAGAGATTTGGGATAGAAAGGTGCTGGGAGTGAGGGGATGCAGATAGGGTTTAAGACACAGCAGCAGGAGCGAGGCCAAAGAAGAGAGAGAGGGAAAATGGACGGAGGGGGGTAGCTAAGTAGCTAAGTTAATGGGCTAAAAGGGCATGTTCCATTGCGGTTGAACATAGGTTTCACCGTGCTCATAGCACCACAGTACTCTTTCAACATCCCCCCTCATTGACTTGGGTCTTAGGATCACACGCACCTTACATGCTGCACACTAGGATTCGAACACAAAACCCTTGCTGTGATACCTTGTTGGTAAAGCTTAGTTGCTAACCACTAAGCCTAACAAGCTTGTTCCATAGAGGGTTGTACCCATAACCCCAAGGCTATCCTTGCCTGCGACCCTTACTCAAGACCTTAGGCCGATCCCAATGCTCCTCCAACAGGGTCGGGCAGGAAAGGTAAAAAAGAGGGAGGGTGGATTGAGGCAGGGAAGGAGGAAGGAGGGAGGGAGGAGGTGAAGGCGGGAGGCGGGCAGGCAGGCAGGGAGAGGGTGGAGGGGGCGTACCTGGGACGTGGTGTAGTAGACGGAGTAGGGCGTGAGGTCGGTTGGCTGGACCACGTTCACCACCGTTCCGACCACGAGAGGAGTGCTGCAGCTCAGACCCTGGAGGGGACCGGGGGTGGGCAGATAGGGCGGGATGGGATGGGGGAGCAATGTGAGGTTGGTGGGTGAGGCAACGGGGAGATTGTGTCCAGATCCTTATGGGAACGGAAAGAAGAGGCTCAAGCAGAAGGAAAGCAAGGGTCTACCACGATGCTCACGGGTTTGTGGGCTTGCAGGTGGGCTCACGGGGTTCTGTTGTTGGAGCTGAGCAAGAGTGAGGCCGTAGACGGGGTGGATGTCGGCACACGTGACACCCCACGACACCACCGTGTATGTGCTGTTGGAATCTCCTGTACAGTGCGGTGCAAGTTGATGTGCGGTGCAGACACAGTGGTGCGGAAGGATCGGTGTAGAAGGGAATGGGTGCAGTTGTTGGGCAAGATGAGAGGATATGCAAGTGAATGGGAAGTGATGGAAACGATGGTGGGTTGAAGAGCCAGCATTGCAATGCGTGATGGTGCATTGTCTATCAGTACGCTTTGTAGCAGCGTTACGTGAAAAAGAGGAGTGGGAACAAGTGGATCTCAGAATGAGAGGCATCTGGAGCACAAGAGAGGATGTTTACTTGGTGGAGCACAGGAGAAGGTACCTGGAGCACAGGAGAAGGTACCTGGAGCACAGGAGAAGGTGCCATCAACGGTGGTGCCCTGCCTGAAGCCCGGAGGGCACACACAGGAGAACGACCCCTTGCCATCATTCACACACGTGCCCACCGCACATGGATTGTGCAATGCTGTCCTGCACGCATCCTTTGGGGATGAAGGCAAGAGATGAAAGACATGAAACTCGGTCATGATCTTCTCTCAGTGACAAGGGCACAACTTGCATGTGCTCTGAGACATGACAGCATCACACGAGGAAGTGCAGGAAAGATCGCAAACTGTAAGCACAGGGGAGAGAGCTCACTGTAAGTATAGGGGAGAGAGCTCACTGTAAGCACAGGGGAGAGAGCTCACTGTAAGCACAGGGGAGAGAGCTCACTGTAAGCACAGGTACGCAAGTTGTCCGGTTGAAGCACCTCCACGAATCGCGGGTCGTTGCAATCACACCGGTTGCTGGCCCCATCAGACGTGGGCGTGCACGTGAAGTTGCCACAGGGGTTGAAGAGCGGCCCAAACACCCTACTGCTGGTGCCGTTGACGTTGCAGGGGTCCCTGGCAGCGCGCACCACCGGGTAGAACCCAGGCAGCGTGTTGATCCCACACACGCCGTCGCCCCCCTGGATGTCCATCCGCATGTGCCCGCCGTCGCCCCACTCCGGGCCCCATGAGTTGCGGATGATCCAGAAGGGCGGCGCCATGTGCGGGAAGGTCGGGTCTGAGCCGGTGAGGCGATACCCCCCAGCAGCACCACGTGGTTCAGGTTGTACGTGAAGCAGGAAGGGTCCGCGTACTTGGATAGCTGGGGGTGAGGGGGCGTGAGGGGGGGCGTGGGACGTGGGTGCATGGGTATGGAATGAAATGAGGGGCCACATGGTTGACGTTGCAGGAGAAGCTCAAGGGGTGAGAGTGTGTGCGCTGTGTGTGCATATGTGTGCATGTGTGTGTGCGTGCGTGCATGTGTGTGCGTGTGTGCATGTGCGAGTGTGCGCGCACATGTGTGTGTGTGTGTGTGTGTGTGTGTGCGTGCGTGTGTGAGTGCATGCGTGTGCGTGTGTGCATGCGTATCTGCATGCGTGTGTGTGTGTACGTGCATGTGTGTGTGCGTGTGTGCGTGCGTGCGTGCGTGTGTGTGTGTGTGTGTGCGTGCGTGTGTGTGTGTGCGTATATGTGTGTGCGTGTGTGCATGCGCGCGTGTGCACGCGTGTGCATGGAGGAGATGAGGGGTGCTTGGGTATGGAATTAATTGAGGGACCACATTGACGTCTCAGGAGAAGCACAATGGGTGTGAGTGTGTACATGTGTGTGTGCGTGTGTGTGTGTGTGCGTGTGTGTGTGTGTGTGTATGTGTGTGTGTGTGTGTGTGCGTGTGTGTGTGTGTGCGTATGTGTGTGAGTGTGTGTGTGCATGGGGTGTGTGTATGTATGTGTGTGTGTGTGTGCATATGTGTGTGTATTTTTGTGTGTATGTGCATGTGTGTTCGTGCTTGTGTGTGTGTGTGTGTGTGTGTGTGTGTGCGTGCGTGCGTGCGTGCGTGCATGCGTGTGTGTATGTGTGTGCGAGTGCACTCACCCCATCATAGTTAAGGAAGGAGGGGGCGGTGGCCTGCACATGCACCACCACGGGTTGTCGTTGCGCAGCCAGCAGCAGCGCAAACCAGCCGTGGAATGCTGTGCGCTCAAACCTGCCCACTCTGAACGACCCTCCTGATGGCTTTCTCTATCGTGGGGGCAGGGGAGGAGGGGTTGGGGGGGAGTGGTAAGGGTTGGGAGGGGTTCATATGGGAGGAGGTGGAAGGGAGGACGGTTAGAAGAGAGGGTATGTGGGAGGTGGAATAAGGGAGAAAGCCATCATGGAAAGAGGATTACTGCAACGGAACGTGCTCTGTCTTGTGCTGACCATGCTGCGCATAGCCGTGTACACCCAGAGCTTGCCTTGAACTCGCAAACCAAATTAGTGGTGAAGTAAATGTGCATGGTGCAGGCTTCGAAACGCCCTCAAAAGCGCCTCAAGCAGGCCACAAATGAAGGAAACAGTGGCGGATAGATGTCAACCAATGTGCTTGGAGAGGCTGTGGTAGATAGATGGGTTTTTGCCAATGGAGATGGCAACCAATGGGGGATTTGAGATGCTAGAAGATGAATCATGACACTTGATCAGAACCGGAGTAGGCATCGGATGGGGGATCCACGAGGCACGGAATCAGGCACCTGTCTTAACACTTGATGAAACACCTGGCAATGACTAGACGTGACCACCAGTTGTACCAATGTTCTTGTCGTGGCCAAACCTGTAGATTTCCCAACCAGGTGAATCCGATTGCACTTGCATACAGGCGAAAGGAATAATTGCAGATCCGGGGGTGTGGCCTTTGCGAGACAAAACCCACATCAAACCGCCTAACGGCAAACAAAGGGAATCATCAAGGTAAGAAAAGCAGCATACCGTTCCGGGGGCCCGGCCTTTGCCGCAGGGGATCCCAAGCACTTGCACGAGCAGAGCAAAGACAGGCATGCCACAGAGCGGGCTCTGGCTGCCTCTCTTCTTGCCCCCGCTCCCTCTTACCACCGCTCCAGCCTCCGCGAGCCCTGCTTTGCTCTTGGCGTTGAGAGTGACGAGGTACTGGAAGGCCTGCGAGGGCGAGTTGCCCTGCGTGCATGAGGCGCCGAGGGCGTTGCGCAGCTGGGAGACAGAGAGGAGCGGCACGGCGGAGAGGTTGAAGAGAATGCTGTAGGCCATTTCCACGCTGCCCACCACCGCGTACGCCCAGCCGTCGCCTTAGAGAGAGGAGTGGGGGGAACGGAATCCGGGTGGGAATGAAGTGATGGGAAGTTAGAGTGGGTTTTGTAAGCGTGCCCAACAGTTAGCTGGATGGGAAAGTGGGAGGCAGCACGAGGGACGAGGGGGCACGATGGACACGCCTGCCCTCTCAAATTATTCAGCTCATAGGTTTCTTCTTTGCTTGTGACAACAGGAGAGAGAGAGACCTTCCGATACCCTCCCATCCTCTCCCATCCCCTCCCATCCCCTCCCATCCTCTACCATCCCCTTCCCTCCCTCCCCTCCACTTCCCTCCCCTCCACTCCCTTCACCTCCCCTCTCCTCACCTCCCCTCCCCTCTCCTCACCTCACCTCCCCTCCCATCCACTCACCTCCCCTCCCCTCCCCTCCCCTCCCCTCCCCTCCCCTCACCTCCCCTCCCTTCCCCTCCCCTTCCCTCCCCTCACCTCCCCTCACTCCCCTCCCCACTCCCCTACCCTCCACACAACTACCCTCCCCACACCTCACCTCCCCTTCCTTTGCCTCCCCCCTCGTCCCTTCCCCTGCCCTCTCCATACCCCGCCCCCATGCTCTCACCGCAGGCGCCCTGGTTCTAGACGGGCCATGGCAGCCCCTGGTCGGCCCAGGAGAACGCCTGCCTCACAAACCACACCTCCTCCTCGCCCGCTCCGCCTCCCCCTCCCCCTCCTCCGCCTACTGGCTGCACTGCGTGCATGCCCACACTGGCGTAGCGGAAAAACAGGTTCGCCCCCACCGGTGCCAGCGATGCCTCACTCATCTGCAGCCCAAACCGCTGGCCTGGTGGGGCAGTCGGAGAGGGGAGGGGACGGTGGGGTAGAGTAGAGTAGGGTAGGAGAGATTCCAGTGGGCGGGGTGGCGCAAAATGATAAGACATGCGTGGGGAAAGTGGAAAGGAAGCACACGACTTGAGGGGCGCAGTGTGTGCAATAGGGGGAACAAGAGGGTAAAATAGAGGAAAGGCTGAAGGAGGGTGGAACTGGTGAAGGAATGGATGACGGAAGGGAGGCGAGAAGGACGAGAACCAAGCGACTGAAATGGAAGGTTGTGTATGTGGATAGGATAGAAGCTAACTCAAGTAAGTTGTACCTGCCGCCGCCACCACTGCCGTCGCTGCTGCCGCTGCTACCGCCTGTAGCAGCATCACTGGCAGCAATCACAAACGCAAACCCATCGCCTGCGGCACCTGCTGCTGTGGCTGCTGCCCTGCTGGCGGTGACTGGTTTGAGAATGGAGAAGGAGAAATAGACGGTGAAGGCCAAGGGGCGGCCGCAGGCACCGGCCTTGAGGGAGAAGGAGAAGAGTGGGATGGGCAGTTGGAGGAACGCTGCACCCCACGTGTTGGGCTGTGAGGCTGTGAGCGTGATGCGGCCGTTGCTTGCCACTGCCGCCCGCCCCTTCACTGCTGTCTGTGCTGCTGTCGGCTGCACGGTTACTGGGCCGCCCTCCTGGCCTGCTGGTGGGGGAGGAGGCGAGGGCAGGCGGTAAGCAGGCAGAAAGGCACAGGTCGTGGCTTAGAAGCAGGGCTTTGAGTGGTCCGCGGTACGAGACAGCTTTTCAGGCGCCTCAAGAGCAGGGGAATGAAAGCTTCTCGACACTTCCAACTAGCTTCAACTCACAGCCTAACAAATTAGCACCGTGGCGGTTTTCAGGGTGCCTAACAAATGAGCACCTGAGCTGCACAGTGACTGGGGGGAGAAAGGGAGCTCAGGATGGCAGCATATGGTACATATACATTGGCGGCCCTTTTGGCCTGGTGCGGGTTGGCAGCATACGTGGGTGGTGCATATGTGAATGGAGGAAATCAAAACGTTCACAACAAGCTGCCTGACTTTTGGAGTCACTTTTGAGAGTTCCAACAAACGATTCTGAAACAGTTAGGACGAGCTACCTCGCCGTATTTTCTAGAGCTGTCTTTGCGTAGGAGACGTGAGCTAGAAGGATTCACAAACATGTAGTTGCTTTCCCACAGCAGACACCGACATCCACACAACCCACACAACCTACACAACCCTCGCCTCACTTCCCTCTCCCCTGTTCTGTTCCCCTATAGCCCCCTTCGTCCCCCCTCTTCCTGAAACTCACTTCCTTCAGGGACGCAGCTTCCAGGCAGCTCCCCGTTGACAAACCCAGACTCGCAGTCACACGTGGGCACTCTGTTGGGCCCGTCCACATAGCACAAGCCATGCCCGCCGCATGGAGGATCGCCTGCAGTCATGCCACAAAACACACCACAGAGCTCCTCCGGCCGCTGAACCGCTTCATCCGCAGCAGAGGGCGTGGCAGGCGTGGGGCAGGAGTAGCCGCCAGTGGGGGTTGGAAGGCAGTTGAAGCGGAAGAAGATGGTGCCTTGGGAGCAGTTGGGCGGGGAGGAGAAGCCTGAGGAGAAGTAGCTGAGGTCGAGATTGTAGACGGTGACTGTTGATGGGATGGGCTGCAGTAGGGGGCCTGTCAGCTGGTTGTTGCGCAGGTTGCTGGGAGGAAAGAGGGAGGGAGGTGAAGGAAGAGAGGAGGAAGGGGAGAGGAAGAGAGGAGGAAGGGGAGAGGAAGAGAGGAGGAAGGGGAGAGGAAGAGAGGAGGAAGGGGAGAGGAAGAGAGGAGGAAGGGGAGAGGAAGAGAGGAGGAAGGGGAGAGGAAGAGAGGAGGAAGGGGAGAGGAAGAGAGGAGGAAGGGGAGAGGAAGAGAGGAGGAAGGGGAGAGGAGGAAGGGGAGAGGAAGAGAGGAGGAAGAGGAACATTGAACCTTCTTTCTTCGCAGGAATGGAGGCAAATCAGATAGATTTGCAGCCATTGGAGGGGGGAGAGGGGCGGGGGGAGGGGAAGCAATGGATGGGAATGCGAGGAGGCCAGTAGGCCACCGGACGCACAGGAGAGTGAAAGGGGTTGTGCAGGGCGGACGCACAGGAGAGTGAATGGGGTTGTGCAGGGCGGACGCACAGGAGAGTGAGTGGGGTTGTGCAGGGCGGACGCACAGAAGAGTGAGGCGGGCAAGGCCGGTGTACTCAGTGGGGATGGTTCCATGTAAACGGTTGTTGCTCAGGTCGCTACATTGGGAGAGAAAGCCGACAACAAGGTACAAGTAGGTGAGAGAAAAGAGATCTAAGAGAGGGAATGGAGGGTGGATGGGTTGGGAGGCTAGGAGAGTTGAGGCGGCAATCAGACATCTCAACATTGGAAACATGGTATAAAGGGGAGAATAAACCTCATTACAAGCAGCACAGCACTGCAGTGACTACTGCTGAACAGAATCAAGTGTTGGTGTTAGCCCCCAATCTTTACTTTTCTACTTGAAGTTCTTTATATTATAGATTAGTGTAGATTGTAGTTTGTGCTGGTTGGGTGTACACTCAGATCCCAACCTCGTCCAAGTGTAATCAACCAAAATTCCCAGCCCACCAATTGAAGATTTCAGCCAATCTCCTTGGAATTACCCCTGAGTTCCTCCCCTCCCATTCCTTGCTCTTTTCCAATGCACTCGAGTGCCTTGGACTCATTGTCTAATGTATCACTTCAAGCTAAGGTTCTAAGGTGTTTCGATGTAGTAACGAGAATTAGCAGCAGCATTGGTAAAGGCCCATCGTGGAAAAATGGAAGAAACAGAAGCAAGTGGTTGATGTTACCGCTACATCTCTTGTTCGCAACTCAACCAGTAAAGGCCATGCTTTGTTGGCAAGCTGACGTCCAGCGCAGAATCTTTCAAAAGAAACAGTGTTGTGCAAGCAAAAAAGCTGTATGTACGTTTGGTATATACTCAATGTTGTATAGGAAAGACTAAGTTGTATAGGAAAAGCTATGTTGTGTAGCTCGTGGCACGCGGATTACTCACATGGCTCGCCCTGCATGGTTCACTCTGTTAAAGTAGGCTAGTCTTTGTTCCTAGACTGAACACGCCCTAGGTTCAGTTGGGGTTTTCCCAACCAGCTCTATGATCTTATACTCCTGTTTATCGAGTCAACTCTTTGCCAAACTCTCTCAACATCCATAGCTGCCCTATTTGCTCTCTTAACACACTCACATGGCTTCTAGCTTTAATAGTCCTCTGAGAAGAGTAGGCAGGGTGCCACTGATCTGGTTGTAGCAGAGGTTGCTGCAGGGGTGCAGAGTGAGGGGAGAGGGGGTGCACACATGGGAGAGTTGGGCATTCGGAAGGAGGATAGGAAGGTGAGTAGGGCCAAGGACAGATGAGAATTCACGCAAGCGCATAGATGAAACGGGAAAAGAGTGCAACAATTGCACATTCCAAACTGAGGGGAGTGAGAGAAGGGGGATTGGGATGGAGCGGGTCTGGTGAGTGGGGAGAAGTGGGGAGAAATAAGGGGTGTGGGGGAAAGGAAGTGAGATGGAAAACTGCTAAACGACATGGGACGAATTGAAGGGTATGGGGAAGCAAATAAACACAACATAAAGGAGTGGGAAGAGAGAGGGGAAAGGGACGTATTGTTGAAAGAGATTGTTGTTGTAAGGGCTGGAGGGGAGGGGGGAGGGGGGAGTGAATGTTGGGTAGTAAGAAGATGAAAAATGGAGAAGGAGAGCAGGGGGACAAAGAGAGCAGGTACAGGGGGCATCGACAGGGCGTGAGGATTGGTGATGGGGCCTGACATGGCTTCGGGATTTGCGAGATTGGAGTACTCAGCAGGTATAGATCCGGTCAATTCGTTGCCACTCAGGTTGCTGCCGTGAATGAGGTGGTGCCCAAAGGGGAGGGGGGTGAGAGGGCGGAAAGGCAGAGGGGAAGGAAGGCGGGCGGGAAGGGGGAATGGAGGGGGATGGACGGGGAGACGGGAGGGATTGTGAACCTGGAGGGGGGGTTACAAGAAAGTGGAAGGAAAAGATATGCTACGAAGGGAGAGAGAGAATGCCACGTACTTTGCTGTAGATGTGAGCTCAGAGAGGGAGGCTGCATGAATGAAGTACAAAGGACCCAGAAGCAAGGGAGCCCTATGAGAATGACGGGTCCCTGGAAGCACATGCTACATGCGAAGTGGAGCCTCAGACATGCCCATAGCAACTTTTGAGGCGCCTCAAGACTCAACATGCGGAGTGGAGTGAAGCCTCAGACGTACCCCTAGCAGAGTGGCAGAAGCAGAGGAAAGGGAGTGCGGGAGAGGGCAGTGGTGCAATGCAGCACTCAAAGGGCCTTGAGGGTAGTTATGCTGCCGATGCTGGTTGGCAGGGGGCCGGTCAGGTCGTTGTGGCTCAGATCACTGGGAGTGAAGGTAGAGAAGGGTGGATTGGAGGGGGTGGGGTGTTAGGTGGAATGGAAGGGATGTGATGCAACAAAAGGAAGATGGTAGGTGGGAGCAGTAGGAACGCATGCACATAGCAGCAGACATTCAGTGTGGCATGACACGACATGACATGACATGGTGGAGTCTGGAGATGGTTTGGAAAGCCACCATTAGTTTAACTTGGACAACATGGCATGGCATGATACATGACAGCAGAAGCCATGGCATGAGATGTGGCATATGGCATGGTATGGCATATCGCATGGCATGGTAAGGCTGATACAAGAGCACATGAAATAGCACATGGAGCAGCAACAAGTGGGCGTACAGGCTGGTGATGGCATTCAAGGCTGTGAGCTCTGCAGGCATGGTCCCTGATAGCTGGTTGTAGCTCAGGTCCCTTCCGTGCACAGGTACAGTGGTGGTTGGGGAGGGAGCTACATGTCTATCTAACTGCATGCAGTTGTGCTTGTGCATTTCTGCGCTTTATGGAATGGCACACCATGGCACGATTGTGCTTACTCCATACAGACTTTTGCAATGCAAGTTTCGCTACGCACACGAATAATACAGCTCCGCTTGCTTTGCTTGCTTGGTTGTTTATGTGTGAGTCTGGTCAAGAGGTTATATCAGAAAACACTGCGTACTTGGGATGCAAGCGGTGGGATGCTTACAGCTTCTGTAGGTTGGCATTCCACACAATAAATTCTGCTGGAACGGAACCAGTGAGAAGATTGCTGGAAAGAGAGCTGGAGAAAGAAGCAGAGAGGCAGAGAGACAAAGGAACTAGCAATGGAGAGACCAGGCAGAGAGACGGGGCAAGCAGCAGGTTGACAGGGTGGGATGCGAGAAGCGGCAAGATGCGATGCAGCGGGAAAGACATTCGCTTGGTGTGAAACATGCTGCAACAAATATTCCCAGTATCCAAGTGATAGCACGAGAAGACCATTCTGTTCCTTCCATGACAGGGAAGGATGAGGGATGATGATGCTAGGACTCCTAGCATGTGAAATGCAGCGAAAGAAGTGCAGTGAGGAAAGAGCATACAGTTGCTCAAGATAGGTTAAGTTGGATGGAACAAGTGTGCCTGACAGACGGTTGAAGCTCAGGTTTCTGTGAGGGGAGAGTGAGAGGGAGAGAAAGAGAGATATTGGATGGGTTGGTGGGGTGGAAAGAGCATCCGTGGGGTTGCTAATTTGAGTCTCTGGAACCTGGCAGAGGCATTGGAAAGGGACGGAGGGAAGATGAGGGTATGAACACATGAGGATATGAACACATGAGGATATGAACACATGAGGATATGAACACATGAGGATATGAACACAAGAGGATATGAACACATGAGGATATGAACACGTGGAGGACAGGAGGATATGAACATATGAGGATATGAACACATGAGGATATGAACACATGAGGATATGAACACATGAGGATATGAACATATGAGGATATGAATACATGAGGATATGAACACAAGAGAGGACATTAGGGCATGAGGGAAGCACATGAATAATCACGAAAATGTCACAAGACCAGTGAAGGATAGTGGGCTAACTAACAGGTAGGTGAGTTTGACGAGGAGGGAGAGGGATGAAGGCACGGAATCTGACAGTTGGTTGTGACTCATGTCCCTGTGGCATAACAGGCACGGCATGGCATGCCATAATGTGGTGCCGTGTCGTGTCGTATGGTGTAGTGTGATGCGGTGTTGTGTGGTGTGTTGTGGTGCATTGCGGTGTATTGTTGCATGGCATGACATGGCATGGCACGCCATGGTAGCAGGTAGTCACATTGGTAACAAAAAAGTAGAAGAGACAAATCATAAAATGAAACAGATGAGGAGAAGCAGGTGCTTGTGAATCAACTGCAAGACAAATAGAAGAGAAAGCACATCCCCACACAACCATACTCCAACAAGCCCTCTCTCAGCTATCATGTGGCTCCACGCACAGTCTGATCAGATACACCAGCGTTTCTCAATGGAATACTGCTGGAGGATATCTACATGGCGCAGCCCGACGGCTATGAGGATGGGACCAGCCGGGTGTGCAAGCTCAAGAAGGCCATCTATGGTCGCCTAGGTGCTGGTACGAGAAGCTGGAGGAGGTGCTGCTGAGTGGAGGCTTCAAGACGTCCCAAGCGGATCACAGCTTGTTCCTGCTTGGAGAGGGGGAGCAGCTGCTCTTGCTGCTGGTGTATGTCGATGACATACTGCTGTTCTCACCCTCCATGGAGCAGATTGAGAGGGCACAGAAGCTGCTGGTGGACAACTTCAAGTGCAAGATGCTGGGGGATGTCCACTACTACTTGGGGCTGCAGATTGAGAGGGATGTTGAGAGGAGGTGGCTGAAGATGCATCAGTCACACTACATCTCTGGTGTCATGGAGCGTTATGGTGTGACTGGGGGTCGCACTGTGATGACACCGTTCCCTGCGGGCTTCAAACTGAAGAAGGCAGCTGAGGAGGATGATGTGCTCGAGGATGAGCAGCAGAATGAGTACCAGTC